ATATATCAGTAAACTATAATAGAATAGGCTCCGATGGAACTGTCTAGATGCTGCGCACACACATGTAGCCGCTTGCCGTTTGCAGTTGTGAGGTGTAGGGAGAGAGACATGTTAAGAGCTAGCGACGGCTAGCAGCAACATTGCTCGTCACTTCTAGAAGAGTGAAGATGTTTTGAGTGTGATCGATGCAATCATGAAACACAAGGTGAAGCCGCGATAGTTCTATCTGACGTCTTGCCTTGTGATCGATGTTATTGATTTGACCTATCCGCCTGGAGTGATTGACAGGTAGTTCTGCTAAATCAGCGTTGCGATAGGCGCATTCTAAAGTGCCGGCAACGTCGACAATTTGGTGCACGTGCGTGAAAAAACACGTATAACGAGGCTGAGCTTGACCGACGTAATAACAATATTGAACGGGTTGGGTGGTTCAGACGGATAGGTAAATTGGCAGACAGATACACCGATAGATATACCCTGAGTTGACCTCGAACACGACCTTGCACCCCTCGTGCGACTACTCAGAGACGCACGCGAAGAGGTTGTTAATCAGGAGAAACGTCACGAGATACGTCACGAGATACGTCACGGGGTCAAGAGGTCAGCAGTCGTTGTACCCTGCAGATATGTTGGTCCAGAGCCACGTCTCCGGAAATTCCTTGCGAACCGCCGCCGCGACTTGCGGCCGCTTCGGCAACTGCGATGACTGCTGCTGCTGCTGCTGGACAGGCTGGTCGGCGTCAGCACCGGACGCGATCGCTGCGCATCTACGGTGTAGGCGGCCGGCGCTGCGGCCACATCGAGCGTGCGACATGATTTTTTTTCCTAGGTCAATCAAGAACATAGGGCTCTAGTGAGCGCTGCCATTGGTTGATACAAATCACGTGCCTCAAACTCCTGTTGTTCGAACTGCATTCACTGCATTGTGACCCTAACCCTAACCCAAACCCTATTTAAAAAAAAATATAACAAATAAAATTTTTAATTGTTGTAAAAATTATATGGTGTTATTAAATTGTTGTAAATAAATCATGTAAATATTTGCGTTAATTGGAAAAAAATTGTTAAACGGATAAAGATAGAAAAATACAGAAACAGGAAAATAATTAAAAAACGGATGGAATTCGATCCAATGACCTTTCAGACTTGAATTGCGTGCTGTACTCGCTCGGCTATCGAGGTATAGTGGAATTATGCATTTTGGATGTGCTATGAATATGACGATACTGTGATGTCATTGAGCGACAAAACAAGCTCAACCAATAGCAGCGCTCACTAGAGCCCTATGTTCTTGATTGACCTAGGAAAAAAAATCACGCGAGCGGGCGCGCGACCATCTTTCAGTAATTAGCTATAGGCCCTCAGTTTACCGAAATCTGAAAGGACTATCTTTTAGAGACATTTCTTGTTGTAATGTTTGTCCTCCTGTGGCTCATGTGGGGCCCAGTATGCCACCTCCGCCTGCTAATGTTCAGCCATCATTGGAAATTCCAGCAAATGCTTCTAGATCGAATAATTCAAACCACTCGCCACCAGAAGAAATGAGCTTCTGAACCCTATCACGGTACGTATCCTATTGTTCTGCATCCTAAAAAAATCTGGAAATTAACCTATTCGCTGGCGTCATTGAGCAGCTCTGGCCAATCATCGTTGCGATATTACGTTCTGAAAATAATGCGTTGCAGCGAAGTACTACGAAGCCGACAATTTGTCGTGTGTGTGTGAATACCACGTATGAACTGGTTTGGCATCGCAACCCTAGCAGTAATATCCCGGGTCCGTGGTTATCTTGCTAAGACGGAGAGCTTAATTGACCTGGAAACCTTTAATATATACGCCTTGTATGTTCGTAGCTAAGCAAAAAAAGCCTACTCATGTCTCTACTCCAGTCTCTTCTCTTGATATATCATGAACAATGAATGCAATCGCCAACGTTGCCGCTGCCACCTCGACGACAATGATAACGACGACGATGATGACGATGACGGCAACGATGGAGGCGGCGATGACGACGACGCTGACGACGACGATAACTACGACAATGACGGCAACGATAACGACGACGATGACGACGACGATGACCGAATTATGAGACCAACAAACCACGAAAAATAACTCCAACATGATGCCAGTAGGTGGCATCCCATAGCTATCACTATCGAAGCAGTATTCAATTGACCACCCGCAAGGCTGTGTGTCTGTCTCAAACGGACGCAACCCTATCGACGCTTGAACACGCATATAAGCGAGACCAGGAGACGTGCAACAGTCCAGCCCATGACAAAGTAGGGTGGGGTATGCTGATAACCATGGCTGATGTGGGCTTATTGTAAACATTACGTGTACATAAGCAGCATAGTGAGTTCCAGTGAGGAGGTGAGAGACGGAGGATTGTCGGTGTCAAAGATCCCAACAGCTCGCCGGTCTTACAAAACATATCGACGTGTTTGTGAAACGTGGGTGCAAAAACTTGTGCAACGAATACATGTATACCTATATACTATGCTATTATCTTCCTATGTCTTACACACGGCTAATATACACAGCTAGGGCGTAGGCGGGTATATGGTGCGTAAGACTATTAGTGTAGGCGTTAGTACAGCTATACTGTTAGCGCGTGTCGCGATTGGATTATTGAGACCCTGCCCCGCCCCACCTTGCCTCGCCCCGCCCCGCCCCGCCCCACCCTGCCCCACCCCACCCCGCCCCGCCCCGCCTTGGAGCCGCACCCTGCAGTGCTGTTCGTCCACAGCCACGTCTCTGGGAACTTGGACCTGACGCGCTCCGCCTTTCTGCGCCCGGCACTTCCGGCCGGCGGACGTGACGTCGGCGAGCCACGCGTCGTGCTCGTGGCAAACGTCGGCGCCGGCCGCAGGGTGGTACCGACTACCCCGCCGGAAGCGTTGAACCGCACACGCTGCGTGTAGTCATACGGCTCCGGCACTGCAAGTGAGCGGCAGCATATGTAGCAGTCGAACGCGCTGCGACGGAGTCTCTAGCAGCGCACGTGACGTCACACGCTGCCACGTGACACCTTATCCTGTCACGTGACACTTCATGGCGTCACGTGATGCGTGGGCGCGTCATGCAGCGTCATGGTCGTGCGCGTTACACGTGGTTCGGAGTTATACGCGTCACTGCATGGTCTGTCTTCCCCCCTGCTCGGAATAGCGTCATTGCTCAGTCTTACATCAATTCGTCGCCTGACGTCACTACCTCTAATGACGTCACTGCTCAGTCTGATGTCACTGTCCGTTCTCACTTCGTCACTACTACATGTGTTTGCCAGCGGCAGTGGCAGTAGAAATCTGTGCTCAACGTTATGACGTGTTGGGGAATGATTGACGTGATAACGCGACAGTTGAGCTTTTTTCACACACACACACACGACACAAACACGCACACACACAGCACACACACACGACACACACCACACACACACACACACACACCAACACACGACACACACACACACGGCAGCGAGTACACGACCCACGGTACGTGAGCACACACAGTCGAGCACACACGCACAACACAAACACACGACACACCCCCGACACACACACACGACACACGTCACACACACCACACGCTTCACACACGCGCGACACACGGCGCACGCACGCACAGCAGCACATGCACACGCACACAACACATCACGACGCCGCGGCGCGCACCACACACACACACACCAGCATACGCACGCGAACACACACGCGCGCACACAACACACACAGCGCGGCGCCACAACAACAACACACGACACCTACACACACACACACATCGCGGCACATCAACACACACACCTGCGCGCGCGGCGACACACACACACATACAGTGCGGTGCGCGCACACACACACACACACACGCCGACACGGCGCACGGCGCGACCGGCACACCGCCGACGCACACGGCACACGCACAACGCACAACGCGACACGTATACGCACAACACACGAGCTCGCACGCACACGACGTAGGTACGCACACGCAATAACGCACACACACAAACACATGTATGTATATATATTCCTATGAGGTCAGGTTGCGGCATTTGTGCGTTGACTCGATCCTATTCGATTCAGCTGATTAAATCAGCGTTAGATAGTTGGAGGAGTGAGGTAACTCCGGAACGCTCTCACGCATAAGCGACCTAGCCGCCAGCTAAGTGACCGCCCCATCGATATTCGCAGCTCTCCCGTTGCAAGAGTAAGAATCACATGGAAGACAAAGGGCAAGTTTGAAGAATGAGTATAACGATATTATAAAGGTAAGGATCTGCGCATTGCGCACGCATACACGCACGCATAGCGCACGCACACGGTAGGTGTATGTATGACAACAGTCTGTTACGAGTAATGAAGACATACGGCGCCACAGAAAACGCAAAAGAGCAGAAACAGCCGAGCCGATTAGTTAGCGAACAACGAGAGACAATGCTAGCCACAGCGCCATCTACAGGCGAGCATGAGTATAAAAAAGCAGCGCATAGTTGCCGACCCAGCACTGCTGTTGATCCACAGCCAGGTTTCGGGGAAGTCTTTGCGCACAGGCTCTGGCTTTACGGATGGCGACGTCCCTGGAGCCACCGGAGCGCCTTGATGTGAGTCGAACAAGAGGCCGCCGCCACCACCACCACTGCCGCCACCACCCCTGCCGCCTCCAGACCGCGCGGTCGAATATGGTCGCCTCTTACCTGAAACGTCACGGGCGGGCATCGCTCGTCACTTCACCCTATCCGCCCGGACTGGTTAATTAACAGGTAGCTCTAGCCAATCAGCGTCCCGAATGGGGCAGTGCTAAAAACGCTGCTGAGTGACGAAGTGCGGCGAGACGAAAATGAGGGGTTCGCGCGTGGAAAACACGTAGGGCTAACATTGACATAGCAACAGTATCCAAGGGGCGTGGCTATCTCGCTCAGACTGCTTTGGCTGTCGGGTGGTTCAGGTAATATTGCACTGACTGGTGAGTAGGTCTGGTTAATTGTATAATTAGAAAAGTTGTGGTAGGTCGCATCGCTTGTTTACTAAGGCATCGTTAGCGTACAGCAGCGTAGTGCATAACTATATATATACCTATCTAGCGAAGCTGTATTAATTTTAATCCAACGGCAGCGTGATGTTGTTTATACTAGTATGACAGGCACATTCGCTGTGGCTGTAGAGCTAGAGCTGTTCCATGATTTCTGTACTTAGTGTACACGCGAGTGACACACTTGGAAACAATAACAATGCGTACACTCGGTTTATAGAATAGGCTGGCTTTCTGAGTGCTGCCTCCTTTCAGCAGAGAGCGCAGCAAAACTTGATTCTCGTAATTTTTTCTTCATAATAGCGACCAGGAATCCGTCTAAGCAGGTGAAGCATCACGCTAGCTTGCGAGTAACAGCAGGAACACGTAATCAATGTGGCGATCATGTCAGATACGACGTTCAGTGGGATGCGGTGTTTCTTTTGCTTGCCAAAGCAAAATCTGTGATATCAACGAGTTCACGCCTCTGGTCGAGAGAGAATCATGGCCCAGACACCGGAGTAATATCAGGGTTAGATGGGCGTATCATGTGCAAGTGCGAAGAGTACCGTATTAGTAAGCCACTTACTATATACTACGCTATGTATATATA